CATCTATGTCACAGTAGGTGGGATGGTTTGAGAATGAGGAGCTTCCTGCCAGATGCTCTGGGGCTGATCCTCTAAGGTGTGTGACTAAGGCATCTGTTCAGCCGGCCCAGCAGGTCACGTAAAACGGCAGCACAAAGGGCCCGTTATTAGGCAACGGGCAGCAACATGAGCGGTGGGGTTACGGAAGGAGCTGGTTCAAATATCCGATACATTTTCCACAAGCAGTCAGCGATACCTGAACTAAACCGAATCAGCTGACTCGTGGGAGTGTGGAAAGAGAACAAGAGGACAATCAGTCAGACACACACACACACACACACACACACACACACACACACACACACAGAGCAGACCTGGCAGTGAGCCTCCTGAAACTCACGCTCCTACACACACATTAAGAAGCAAACTCAGCGATCGTCAGGGAAAAGAGGGGTAAAAAAAAAAAGTATGGCTTTAAGGGAGAGAAGCGGGTAAAATCCAACAATCAGGGTGCGCTAAGGAACCTTGAGACAGCAGTTAAAGAAATCAAGAAGGACGAGGTTCTCCTCACCGAAGTAATCAGCCTTTGGCTGGGCGTCCATCTCCTTTCCCAGCTGCTTTGTAAGAGCTTCTAATTTTATTTCAGCAGCCGAGGGTCCCTGCTCTGGCTGTAAATGGAGAGTCTGACAGTGCAGAGGGTTCAGTCTGGGGGGGGTGGAAGGCTCCTGTTTAGACACCGGAGCAGAGGGGAGCGGAGAGCCATCTGCTCCCTGGGTGAGGGGCACCGTTGTGGTTTTGGGACCATGAGAAGCGCTCCAGGTGGGCCCATGGGTGAGGGAATTGCTCTGGTCCAGATAGGCTGGATCACCACTTGGGATCTTGGACTGAAGTATCTCAGATGGTACTGGAATCCTCACGGCTGATTGGTGAGCTACACGAGATGATGCAAGACCTCCATGAAGCCCATTCTGACCAGGGTCCCCTTTGGAAGACCTGGCACCGGAACCGGCCTGTGCCAGAATCTGCCGAGAAGATAGAGAGTTTGAGTCTGTGGTGTCGCTGAAGGGACTTCTTGGGGGGTGGGACGTGGGCGAAGGTCGCCCCACACCTTGGCCGTCCCCAGCACGGACCCAGGAGACCTCGGGAGAAGCACTCACTGCTGGGGCAGCCAGGGGAGAGAAGTCACAAGCGGACTCCAGGTTGCCTGCCTGGGTCTGGCTGAATCCAGGGGACGTTGGTGGATGGAGCCCGGGTGATGGGCAGCTGTTGGGAGTGGTGGGGGGTTTGGGGGGCTGCGGGGTCGACCTATACTGTGCAGCTGGTTCTTGCCCTTGCTGGACCTCTGTGTATGCTGGGCTCACAGCTGGGCTATGAGTCCCTTGGATGGGATGGCCCCCTTGGTAGAGTCCCCAGCCAGCTGCAGGACAACTTGGGGGCTGGCCATGTGGGGGCAGGGACACTGGGTGGTAGGAAGATGTCCCAGGAGCCAAGGTATGGGAAGAATGTGGATCCAGAATCTCCTTATAATCATCATTATTTCCATACCTGTATCCTCTGTTCCCTGGACCTTCCTGGTGAGCAGTGCGATGCTGTTTTTGTCCCTCAGAAGAGACTAACTGGTTGGCAGTGACAGCCCCAGGCGTTGGCCCAGACAGAATAGGAGGCTTGGCAGCTGCCTCGTTTGCAGGTCTGTAGCTATTGAGTGGTGGCCGATCCTTGGGATAGAATGCATTATCTGGTGTTCGACCATGCCCACTGAGGCCGTCAGTCAGCCTCGCCGCAAAATTGTTTTTTGCCATTTCTTCCTGGTGCTTCTGCATATGGATTTTGGACATTTTTGAAGCAAATACCCTCCTAGTTTCCTCAAAGTCGGGATTGTTCCCCGCATCTCGCTTCATCCTGAACAGTCCATCCTTGGACGCCTCGTACATATTGAGATCTTCGATAAATTTGCTGGCTTCCAGTCCGAGATCATCATATTTATCCATTTTGAAAACGCAGCCGAAAACAAAATATGTCAAAATTTTAAATACCGGTATGTTCTTGAATGCGTCCAATGCTGGTGCCTGAAAGCGTCGTTAAAAATATATAAATCGGATACAATACAAACGACCTTTCGCTACAAATGTGACAAACCCGCGTTAATATAAATCCAAAGAATCAAAGCAAACACTTCTGCCCTGAAAATAGGAATACGACGTAAAGATCTGTGATAAAAGTTCATACAAAACGGGCAAATTAAAGTATCGAACCAAAAACTCCAAAACTTGCGGAAATATTCATACATTCACTCAAGCATTTGTTCGGAATCCAAAGTTACTCCGGCTGAAAAGGTCCCGCGGCTGCACGCTGCATGATCCGTCCCGAAGACGCCGATCCAACTCGATCGAGGTTTCTCTCCGCTTCACAGCCGCGGCTCAGAAATGTCCATAACAGGATGCTTTCTGACACCGAAGTGATGTGGGATCTGACCTGTTCGGCACCTTTTCCTCCAAACTCCGACTATGGCGCTCGAGGCGGAAGACGCAAACTAACCCAGTAACTTTCTTTTCAGCGCCCGGCCGCTGTGCTCCTGCCCAAACGTGCTGCGGACTTTCTTTCCACAAACCGCCGCGGTGTTTTATGCAAAGTGCGATAAATTGCGGCAAATCAGCCTGCACAGGAAAGCATACGCTGGGGATTTTTTTTATGAGTGAATAAATAGGCGAGGATGAGTCCGAGGCGGTCGACTTGCATTTAAAGGTACAGGAAGGTTTTAGGACCGTACAGCGCATGTGGGCCGTATGGGGACAAACGCTGCTTCCACTGCCATCTGCCGCACTCCCAGTTAAAGCGTCGCCACCGGGCCAGTTCAATATACCCCAGTTGCCCCATCGAACGTGTTCTAAGGCAGCAGCGCTAAGCTATATTTTTCACAACTTATTTTAGTAACATGAAATTTTTTAAGGCGTGTTTTTGAGTAGAAGCGCTCGTGTTGAGCCATACAAACATGTCTTTATATAGAAAGTGCTGCTGAAAAAGTATACGCATGCCTCTGATATTCTGCCTGTGTATTTTTATTCCTAACCACGCAGAGGAAGTTCACAATGCCGATTACAAAAATAACCCTGACAAACATTGTATTATCTTGTTGGTGAACCCTTCGAAACTTTTCCTTATAGCGATTTCACAGCTGTCACCTACATTTGAGCAGACAGGCGTGAGCTATTCCTGATATTTGGTACTGGAAAACATTGATACGACTTAAATGAAAAATTGTGGTATTTTATCAGGTAAAACGGATTCTTTAAGGAAACGTGGTGGCTCGGTGGGTTACATTGTCATTTCACTGCACAAAGAACAGGCTTTTGTGTGAATATTAACAAGCTGGTCAAATAATTCAAAAACACAACAAGTACATTTTGAGTAGGCCTGCTATTAAATATGGCTGTTACCAATGGCCATAAACTGAGAAATACTTTTGGGGGGGGGGGGGGGGGGGTTGGACAGAATGTTTCTGTGATAACATGACTCCCAAAATGTTGTTCCAAAAATGGCAGATAAATGGTAAAAAAGCATGTATAGAGAATGGAACATCATACAGGGAGTTGCCCTTGTTTCTACACCCAGGGAGCTGGTAAGACCAGGTAGACCGTAATTAGGTCTGAATACTGTCACACACCATTTAGTGATATTGGTCATTGGCCTTGGCATAAAATAATTTACCACAAGTTGTCAGTAACAGCTATGCTTGCTACTCAGGTGACTTGTGTTTGAGTTTCATGCCAGGACTCACAATGAACTGGGCTCTTCCTGGCAAGTGGGGGAATGTGAGAGCATGGCTGCATCCAACTACCACTCATGCCAGTGCTGGGAGACATAGTGGACTAAAAACTACAGCAATGGCGAGGAATCTGCACATTCAAATGAAGGAAAGTCTGCACTGCATCTGGTATAGACTGACGAAAGTCTGCACTGTATCTGGTATAGACTGACGAAAGTCTGCACTGTATCTGGTATAGACTGACGAAAGTCTGCACTGTATCTAGTATAGACTGACCCATAAAATCAGTCAATATACGGGAAGAGTACAGGGTGGAGTTTAAATCCTGAGCTGTGTCACATGAGTTATTTCTCAATCACACATTTATAACAATTACAGCACAAAATTTTGTAAAAAAAAAAAAAAAAATAGTGCTGACTGCCCTGTTTAAGGACCCAGTGGTGAAATCTCTCTGCTGATCTATGGATTTGAACCAGTAACCTTCTGATCACAGGCAGTGCCCTAACCGACTGAGTCACACGTCACCCCCTGGTTACTGTTGGTTAACCATACTTCTGAATAACCTACATATCAAACAACACACTCCCTATCTACCTATCTGAACTAACAGGATGACAGGAAGACTTAGACAGCAAGGGTCTAGAGAATGGATCCAGATGTTGGTGCAATCCAGTGGAGTGACACATCTGTCTGTGGCACTGCCGCCAACAGCTGGAACACCAGACCATAATCGCCCTACCGTTGCAGACTTTCTTCATAAAGACATTTTTGTACACTTAATTCAGCTGCAGTCATGGATGTAGATTACCGGTAAACCCCCACCCCCAAATGAATCAGAACCAGCTAATACAACCTCCCCAATAATCATATTATCTCCCTAAATGCGTGGAGACCTCAACCCCCCTAATGTTGAAACCAAAGTTGGCTGCATTTGTTGCTTCTACATTCTATAAGCACCATTTGTACACATTTTAAACTGCACTTATAAACAACTGGTGCAAGAGAGTTAGTCAAAGCCATGAATTAAAAATCAGGAATAAAACAGAAAGCTTCATACCAGCTGGAGTGATTTGGAATGAGAAAGATCCGCATGACCCAGTGAAATCCCAGCACCACTGATTTCAAATAAATCATACAATAAATACCCAGAACTGGGAGCTGTATGGCAGAAGGGTTAGCAGCCATGTGTGAAATACTGCGTATGTAGGTGTGAATGTGGACACAGCATGTAGGTGAATGAGGACACAGGGGTGCAGAATTGCGGAATCAGGCCCCGAACTTTGAGTGCCGTTTCAGTGTTTAATAAAACAGAAATGACTGAAAACCATCAAGGCAGCAGAAGGACTATGGTTACACTGGGGAGGGCTGCTGGTTTTCTGCCTCTAAAAACAATCCCATATTTTTGGTCTCTTTTATTAGATATCAGTCATCCAGCTTGCCTCAGATGAGGGCTAACTGGTTACCACAGACAGTTTGCAAATACATCATACATACACGCCCACCCCATCTTCAGCAGTAACTTAAATTACAGCTTCGGTGATTGACAGCTGGCTTCACCAATCAGCGGCGAGTCAGCGGACTGGTCAGTCCTCCACCAGGAAATTAATGAGTGCTGTCCTGGGGGAGAGGATAGCCTTCTTTATGGTTCGGGTGGAAAGATGCTGGAGGCCCAATGGGCTGTCCAGCACCAGCTGCCGCACCTCGTCCACATCCTGGGCCACTTTCCTGGGCATGCTTACCACCCCACAGGCCTTGTTGTTGATCTGTGAGGACAAATATGGATTTCTGAGAACTCTTCCATCAGAATGCTGCACTCTGGTCAATGGGCCCATTCTGTCATACATATAAACATCCATATCTATACATTCATACTGTATTTATTTGCTCCAGTCGCCGTGCTATTTATTATTACGATACTGAATATTATCAACTTTTGTAAACTCCCTATCTGCACTATTGTTTATTTGCCATACTTTGTCACGGCAGTTATGGGACTTTGGACTTGTCAGCGTAATGTTACTGAGTCACAAGTTTAGGAACCTGCAGAATGCCAGTGACTCAAAGAGCAGCTGAACTCTGTCAGGTTAAGCCATGAGGTTTTAAGCTCATGCGAGTTTTACTTGCACAAAAATGTTCTGTGAGTTGAAGGAAAAACGATCGGTTCAGAACGATAACCAATGAGGAGGTGGGTCTAAGCAACTAGAGGAGGAGGGACCAACCAATCAGATGTCTTGGTCCGCTAGTTACTTGGACCAACCCACTCTACAATCTGATTGGTTATCTCTCTGAACCAATCATTTTTCTTCTCCCCTCAGAAGATTTTTGCGTAAAACTCCCACAAACAGGTTTTATGGATGTTTGAAGTGGAGAGGAACGCGTAAACTGTAAAGAGGAACGCCCAAATGTATGGTTGGGGGGGCACAACAGGGGGTGGCAGGAACATGATACACTTACATGTGAGGGGGCACAGCCAAGGGTGGGGAGGGGCACAAAAACCCTCGAATACTATCAAACCCTTGTACTGTAACAATCGTCCTCTGTTAAACCCAGAAGCCTGCCGCACGCAACCCCCCCAAACCCACTGAAGCCACCCCCACAAAGCACAACCCTGACTCTGACCAAGTCCAATGTGCCAGACACCCCCAGCTTTGCTTCAGCAGCGAGGCGTCAGGCGTTAGGCGTCAGGCGTTAGGCGTCAGGCGTTAGGCGTCAGGCGTTAGGCGTCAGGCGTTAGGCGTCAGGCGTTAGGCGTCAGGCGTTAGGCGTTAGGCAGGCTGTAGTCTGGCTGCTGTCAGGGAGAATGAAAAGGAAGAAAAAACAAAGGGAATCTCCGCTTTGATCGGAGGAGTCGGGGCGCGGCGGCGTTCCGCGTGGCTCAGCAGCGTGTCTCTAACCCCGAGCGGAGCTCAGCATCCTGACGTCGGCTTCATGAGTGAAGAAGCAGCTTCACTTCACAGCCCCGCGCTTCATGTCGTTAAACCGCAGCGCTGGAGGGAACAGAGCCCAGATCCATTCTGCAGCGCCATCGCGGACGTGTGTGTGTGTGTGTGTGTGTGTGTGTGTGTGGGGATTAGCTTTATGTTACCTTGTGGGGACCAAATGCTCTCTACAATGTGATAAAAACCTGTAATTTTGACTTGTGGGGACTGTGTTTCAAGTCCACACAAAGATCTGTGGATGCAATCAAAAAAGTAAAAATTTCAAAAGCCTTGTATTTTGCTTGGTTACGTACACACACACACACACACACACACACACACACACACACACACAGACACACACACACACACACACAGGTTAGAAATTATATCTTTGTGGGGACTATCCATTCATTTCTATGGGGAAAACTGTAATCCCAACATGGCAACCTTAACCCCTACCCGGACCTAACATTGTGTGTGTGTGTGTGTGTGTGTGTGTGTGTGTGTCTGGGACTGTGTGTGGCAGAGCACACGTGTGACTGTGTCTCATTAACTGCACAAGTTCCCCTGGCCCTACTGGTCCAACAGACAGAAACATGGGAGACATTTAATGGCTTCTGTGCTTCCAGCTGGCTGGTCTTTACGATGCTGTCAGGGGAAAGACACACACTGACACACAGCTACACACTCACACATTCACGCTCATACATACATGTACACCCACACGCCTACAAACATGCACACGCACACACACACACACACAGGGAAACCTCGGGAGTGCGGCCCCCTCGTGCTTCATAAGGTTCACATGTTCTTCAGCTCACTGCAGCAGGATAGTGAGTGTATTTCAGGCAAGTAATGAGTTATCAGGTGTGCAGTGGCTGTGTAAAGAATGTGTAGCAGGTGTGTAACACTATAGTAAGTAAAACAGATTTAACATGTAGCATAGCGAGGGCTGTGTAACAGGCGTGAGACGATAATAAATGTGTAGAGCATGTGTAATGAGTTTGCAGTCAGCTAGTGTGCAATGTCATGAGAAATGACCTTTCTCTACTTTGAGACACATACACATATAGAGTTGAGAGTGAAGGCTGGGGTCCGAATCCATGGTCAGGTCATTTACAGAGAGCCCCTAGAGCATTTCAGGGGGGTAGGGGCATTTTTTAAGGGCCCAATAGACATGTGACTATCCCGCTGAGGATGGGATTCAATCACAAGCACAGAGGCCAGACCCACAGAGCCACACATCACCCGAATAGAGGGCGAGATGTGCATTGAGGTAGTGCATCCATCTTGTGTCCTTACCCGGACTGACACGTCGACGGTGTCTGGGATCTCCAGATACTCTGGGTCCACACTGGGCCAAGGCTGCTGCAGAACATCACCCCCGACAGACAGCAGAGCACTCAGAGAGCTCGGCAGCCGCGTCAGGCCTGGGGAACAGGAGATCAGAGAAAGGGGTCTAGCACCCGCGCGACCAGGCACACAGCGGACAAGACTGTGAAGGAGCAGAACAGAACACGTAAAACCAGAACATTTTCTACGATCTTTATGTGCACTGACTCCCTGGGTACACCGTGCCCCCACCCCGATACAGGGCAGAATAACCGAAACCCAAAAGTGGAACTAGCAGTGACTCCACCCCGCCTGCCCCCCTGTCTAATTTTAAACATGGCTGCAGCTTGCTGATGTGTATCCTGAATGAGACCTCCAGGAAGGATACGTGTTTCCGCTCTTGTGGGCCCACACACGCGTGTTACAGAAGGACACGGGGACCTGTCAGGGCACGGTCGCCCCCGTTAGTCACATACGGAGGCTGCCTGTCCCTTATTTACAGCCCCCTCACCCCAGCTGGTGGCCACACTTATTTGCCAACCGTGAAACGAAAAACGCCACAATGGGCTGCTCTTCTCCCGAGCTGATGATGAGACACAGGGAGCGTGCTGTGCACATTACCGGCAGCCCTTACTCTTATTGCTGGGGTCTTTGACTGGTGTTTTGTGCGTCTGCCTTGTTTTAACGACGACCACATGGGACTCCCACATGCCAGCCCTGCTAGGTAAACAGCAACAGGCTCTAGGCCACGCCCTCTTTCCATTGGGAGCTGGGAGGGAGCAAAAATGTGAACTGTCTGGCAGGGAGCAAAAATGTGAACTGTCTGGCAGGGAGCAAAAATGTGAACTGTCTGGTAGGGAGCAAAAACATGAACCAACTGTGGTTCCCTAAGAACTGGACTGGGAAACACTGGCTTAGAGCCTTCGTTTATTACCACCTGTTGTTAGATATTTAATATTTGGATACAAAACTACACATAAAAAGTAATAGGATGGTACTCCTTGTGCAGTCACTAATCCTCTAATCAATTTTAATTAGCTCTTTTTAATTAGCCGGAGTATTAGTCTTCTGTAAATAGAAATGGCGGTGAATTCAATTATGCATTTCTCCGGTAATCTGGAAATGAGATTATCAGAAGAGCACTTCAGTCACCAGTGAGGCAAAAACGAAGAACAGCCTCAGACGTGCCTGTAGCTGAAGATGCTTGCTGGATCTTCACAGGCATCTATGGCAGAGCTTCAGGCAAAGCGCTGGCTGCCTAAATCTGTGTGTGTTTGCATCTGTGTGACTGTGACGTGGCCCTTTGGATGGTGTGCCTGCAGTGCTACAGTACTTCAGATAAAGATAACTGACAACAATACGTCCCACATTGTAGACGTTTCAGACTCCAGCAGTCTAGCAGTCTAGACCAGGGGTGGGGAACCTGATCCATGGAGAGCCAGTGCGGGTTTTTGGGATGACCTCTCAATCAGCCAATCACAGTGGGTCCCCAGGACTGGAGTTGAGAACGACTGCTTTATTATTGGCTGATTGAGAGGTCATCCCAAAAACCAGCACCCATCAGCAGTTCTCCGTGGATCAGTTTCGCTACCCCTGGTCTAGACTCACTCTGCTTTCCATTCTAGTACCATCTCATTCTATATTCTACACTTACCAATTTTTTCCATTCTAGAACCAGCTCATCCTATACTATAGGACTGACTCTATATTCCATTCCAGTACCAGCACATTCTATATTCTAGACTCACTCTACTTTCCATTCTAGTACCAGTTCATTGTACAATATGACTAAAAGCTTTACAATATTACCATAGCTTCAAAGCCTTACCCGTAGTCCTGCTGTACAACTTAAATCCTGCTTGCTGTTTGTTCCCTCTCCTAATTAGGAACCCAGATGTCGCATTAATTGTTCGCAACTCCCTGACCTTCTACACGGAGCATGTCCAGAAATGGAAACAGGGGCACTTGCACGCATGCAAGCACGCGGCATACTCATACAAACAAAGGATTTCCTTAAAATCACTGTGTCAGCAAGTCTTATCATTTCGACACGTGGGCATAAACTAGACAAGGGCAGGGGTGGTTTTACTGCAGTGACTCAGGTCAGGAGGCTTTGAAGGGATTACAGCAGAGACAGTCCTGGGACTTCAATAGAAAACCTTTTGGTCTCAAACAGCTCTGTATAATGTTCTGTTCCTCTGTACCTTCCCAGAGCTCAGAGGCCAGGTGCGGGGCCATGGGGGCCGTCATCACGCAGAGGGCAGCCAGCGCCTGCTCAAACTCCACGCTGTGCAGGACCAGGCGGGGGGACGCTTGCTGAGGACAGACACACCCCCGCATCAGAGCAAAACAGGAATCGCAGCGTGACCCAAGGGAGCATGTGGTGTGGTAGCAATGTGTGCTCTTCCTCTTCCTACTCTCCGCCTGACCGACAACCGAAGTCAGGCCTTCTCGTATATGTGGTGTGTATGCTATGTGTGCTCTTCCTCTTCCTACTCTCCGCCTGACCGACAACCGAAGTCAGGCCTTCTCGTATATGTGGTGTGTATGCTATGTGTGCTCTTCCTCTTCCTACTCTCCGCCTGACCGACAACAGAAGTCAGGCCTT